ATACCTTTCCCCAAAGTCATATAACAGTTCAGTGGTCAGATCAGGGCTTGAATTAAAATTTCCATTACAGAAGTCTGAAAGCTGGTTGAAATTTTTTTCTTGGGCGGATATACCTGCTCTATTTATGTATGTGTTTATCTTTTCACCTATTTGGCGTTGTCTCTTGTGAAATACAGGTGGCTTCTTAAAAAGATAAAAGTAAAATAGATTTGTTGAGCCTGGATAGCTTTGTGGTTAAATGCAGGAACTCCAGAATTGAATTGCCTGGGTCTGAGTCAGGCGCCAGGTCTTACCAAATAATGGGGTAGGTACTGTGAGATACTGGGCAAATCACTGAACCGCTCTGTGCTGTAGTTTTCCCTTCTAAGAAAGAAATGATGAAGTGATTATAGAATTAAAGGACATAGTACATACAAAGAACTTAGAATAGGGCCTCGAACTCAGAACTGCAGTTTGGGTATTATCTATAGTGGTGGTGCTGTTGGTGGTCATGCTGCTGATGGTGGTGCTGATGCCAGTGACAAAGATGGTGGTGCTGATGATGGTGGATGATGGCGATGCTGATGCCAGTGACAAAGATGGTGGAGCTGATGATGACTGCTATAGTGCTGCTGATGGTGCTGATGAAAGTGATCATGATGTGATCACTATCATGTGATCACTGATGCATTGGTACAGTGATATGGGGATCATAGGGATGATAAAGAATGAAAGCTCTTAATTCACAGGATTGTGAAGTAGGCATGATTTATGATTGTGATTAAAGGATGAGTCGACTTATAGGAGAATACCCTTTAGGATTCCTTTAAGTGGTGGTCTCCATCTTTTGTACGATAATGAAACCTGTGCATTATTGTCTCAGGAACTTATCTGTGAGGTAAGGTGAGACATAACCTTCATTTGTCATTCTTTGTTTGAAGTCTTTCTGGCTACTGATCTTTCCAGTTTGCCTGTTCTGCCTGGGAGGGCATCATAGTTCTTAAACCCCACAGCAGGTAGTTTTGAACTCTCCGCAGGCCCCTGGTCCACTCTCTTGGGGGCATCCTGTTTACCTGCGCCTGTGTTTGTGTCTGCAGGAGTGGAATGTCACGTGGAACACCAGCAACCCCGACTTCACCAAGTGCTTTCAGAACACCGTCCTCGTGTGGGTGCCTTGCTCTTACCTCTGGGTCTGCTTCCCCTTCTACTTCCTCTATCTCTCCCACCATGACCGGGGCTATATTCAGATGACACATCTCAACAAAGCCAAGACTGTAAGTCTCGTGGGGTTTTATTGTGATGTGCGTATTGGGGGGTGGGGTGTGTGCTGGGCGGGGAGGACTGGGTGTGAAAACTGACATGTTGCTTCTGCTTAACTGACCCTGAGCTGCCTTTTACTAAGGCACAGAATAATAATGTGGTGAATAAAGCCTGGGGCTCTGAATTCAGACGTGGGTTCAGAGGTTGGCACTGCCACTTATTAGCTATATGACCTTGAGCAAATTTCTTTCTCCCTTCCAGTTTTATTGAGATATAATTGACAGACAGCACTGTATTAAGTTTAAGTGTACAGCACAGTGATTTGACTTACATAGGTCATGAAATGATTATCTTAGTAAATTTCATGAACATCCACCATCTCATATAGATACAAAATTAAAGAAATGAGAAAACTTTTTTTTTAAGAATTTTTTTTCCTTGAGCAAATTTCTTAACCTCCCCAAGCTTCAGTTTCCCCATGATTACAGTGGGGGTGATAGAATCTATCTCACGAGATTATATGGAGGTCTTCCTCCCTGACCAAGGATGTCTTTTTAATTAAAAAAAAATTTTTTTTATCTTGAAATAGTTTCAAACTGCAGAAAAGTTGCAAGGATATTAAGTACTCTCTCAGCCCTGAATACCCATTATTTATAGTCACCGATTTTTAACATTCTGCCACATTTAACATTTTAACATCCTCTTACTCTCTTTTGCTCTCTCCATATACACATAGTATTTTTTTTTCTGAATTATTTGAGAAAAACTAGCATCCACCATGCCTCTTTGCCCCTTCTTCAGTGTATCTTTTCTCAAAACAAGGATAGTCTGTTATGTAACAACAGTATAATTAAATGTAGGAAATTTAACGTGGACACAATACTTAAAAAAAAAAAACAAAAACTACTATGTATATTCCACTTTTGTCACTTGTCCCAATACTGTCCTTTCTAGCATCCCCTCCTCCTTCCCCCAACTCTGGGTCATGCATTGCACTTAGTCAGACTGTTTCTTTATTTTTCTGTTATTTTGGAAGAACTTTTCACCATTTTTTGTTTGTTTATGACGCTGGCATATTTGGAGAACATGGGCCAGTTAATTTAGAGTCAGTTCCTCAACTTGGGCTCTTGGGACCGTGTTTTCTCATGGTTTGATTCAGTAATGCCTGTCTGGCTAGAGAACTACAAAAGGGCCATGAGGTCCCTCTCTGGGTTACATCTAAGGCCACGTGGTGTCCATCTGCCCCTCATTGATGGGCTTAATTTTGGTCATCCGGTCAGCAAGTCTGTTTCTCCACTATACAGGTGCTGGTATGCCCCTTGTAAGAATGAGCTTTCTGGGGGAGATACATGAAGGACATGTATATATCCTGTATATGTGTGTGTGTGTATATGTGTGTATGTGTGTGTGTGTGCATTCCACTTTCTCCTCTTAGCGTGTGTCTCGGTCCTTTATTAAAGCCCCATTTCCCGAGATTTATTTCCATAAACCCTTGGCAAACAGGTAGATGTGAATGATTTTACCGAAGCTGTCCCCTTGCCTGTGATACCATTGCTCAGACCACATTCCAAGCCCATCTCACCATGCTGTCTGCTCCCCTGTCTTCAGCTGGATCTGGTGTCTTCCTTGTAGACCTCTGGCAGCAGTGTGTACTTTTCATGGAGAGCAGCATCTCCCTTTAACGTGTAAACCAGAGGACTTCCCTGGTGGTCCAGTGACTAAGACTCCACGCTTCCAGGGCAGGGGGCCCTGAGCTCAATCCCTTTGGGGAACTAGATCCCCCATGCCACAACTAAGACCAGGCACAGCCAAAGAAATAAAAATATTTTTAAAAAAACTGTAAGATTTTGCCTGTGCCTTGCTGAAAAACACTCTAGTAACTTCTCATCGTAGGGAGTAAAACCTGGATGTCCTCTCAGTGGCCCAGCTTGATCTGGCTCCAGGCTCCTCTTAAGCCACCTCCTGTCACACCCACGGCTCATGCCACAGCAGGCATGAACCTGCTGAACACACTTCTGCCTCAGGACCTTTGCACTTGCTGTGCCCTCTGCCCGAATTGTTCTCTCCCTCAAGTAGTCACTGTTGGCTCTTCACCTGATGGGAGCGGCCTTCTCTGACCACCCCATCTTACCTGTTTTATTTCTTCTCCCTGATGGCTCAGAAGGTAAAGAATCTGCCTGCAAGGCAGGAGACCCGTGTTCGATCCCTGGGTTGGGAAGATCCCCTGGAGAAAGGCATGGCTACCCACTCCAGTATTCTTGTCTGGAGATTTCCATAGACAGAGGAACCCGGGGGCGGGCGGCTACAGTCCATGGTTTCATAGTCAGGCACCACTTTCACTTTTCATGCCACTCATTCCTTTCTCACATTATACTGTGTATTTTTCCGTTTGTTTCTTGCTTGTTGCATCCACTGGAATCACAGCTCCGTGAAGGCCGTGACTTCTGTCTGTTTTATTCACCATTCTATCCTTCACATCTGTGGCCCATAGTAGGCCCCCAGTAAATTTTGGTTGGCTTAATATTGTTGGGTGAATGGCCATCGTGTGAGGGCCCCCATGTAGGCCTTGGATGTCGATAAGTCAGAGACCTGAGTCTTCAGGTGCTGGGGAGAATAGTGACAGACAGAGTCATAGCTGGGGTGCGGAGGAGACACAGACCATCATGGGACAGCGCGGATGCTGGCTCACCCTGCCTAGGACTTGACTGGGTCCCAGAGGATGTATACTGTGTCTGAAGACCACAGGCGATGGTTTAGGGGATAGCCGGTTCCCCCAAGGCTGAGCTTTTGGCAGGGGTGCTGGGCGCAGTTCCAGGGCTGTCCATTGTAAGATGTGCATGTACTTCTCTTCCAGGCCTTGGGATTTTTGCTATGGATCGTCTGCTGGGCAGACCTCTTCTACTCTTTCTGGGAAAGAAGTGTGGGCAAGCTCCTGGCCCCAGTGTTCCTGGTCAGCCCAACCCTCTTGGGCGTCACCATGGTAAGTAGAGGCTGCCATTTGGAAATGAGAAGATCATGCAGTAGAGATACGGCTGTCTTGGGTGAATTGGGTTTGGTCTTGTTGGGAGGAGGGACGAAAGGATGATGGAACTAAGGCCTAAAGAATGAGAGGGATGTTAAAGTTGAAGGGGCCGGGGACAGGGAGGATCCAGTGGACAGACCAGCACGTGCAAATGTCCTGGGGTCAGAACAAGGGAGATTGAGAGTTGGCTGGGGCAGAGGCAGTGAGGAGGGGTGCAGGGGAGCTGGAAGGACGGGGGGCTGTCTCTGAAGGACCTTGAGCTTCAGGGTAAGCGGGTTTTGTCTTATTTTTCAGTCCCAGAGTTGGGTTCCAAACCTTTTCTGCGCCACACACCCCTTTCTTCTTTGCCAGTCTGGTCTCAGAATAATGTTCTTAAAATCATAAAACACATAGGCTTGTGGAGGAAACCCGTCACACACACATATGTATATGTATGAAGATCGTAATGAGGTCCGTTTGTGTTTTTACTTGAGGTTTATTTTACGTAGGGTAAAATTCACTCTTTCCTTGAACAGCTGATGAAGGAGGAGACACAGACCATCATGGGACAGCGCGGATGCTGGCTCACCCTGCCTAGGACTTGACTGGGTCCCAGAGGATGTATACTGTGTCTGAAGACCACAGGCGATGGTTTAGGGGGTAGCCGGTTCCCCCAAGGCTGAGCTTTTGGCAGGGGTGCTGGGGGCAGTTCCAGGGCTGTCCATTGTAAGATGTGCATGTACTTCTCTTCCAGGCCTTGGGATTTTTGCTATGGATCGTCTGCTGGGCAGACCTCTTCTACTCTTTCTGGGAAAGAAGTGTGGGCAAGCTCCTGGCCCCAGTGTTCCTGGTCAGCCCAACCCTCTTGGGCGTCACCATGGTAAGTAGAGGCTGCCATTTGGAAATGAGAAGATCATGCAGTAGAGATACGGCTGTCTTGGGTGAATTGGGTTTGGTCTTGTTGGGAGGAGGGACGAAAGGATGATGGAACTAAGGCCTAAAGAATGAGAGGGATGTTAAAGTTGAAGGGGCCGGGGACAGGGAGGATCCAGTGGACAGACCAGCACGTGCAAATGTCCTGGGGTCAGAACAAGGGAGATTGAGAGTTGGCTGGGGCAGAGGCAGTGAGGAGGGGTGCAGGGGAGCTGGAAGGACGGGGGGCTGTCTCTGAAGGACCTTGAGCTTCAGGGTAAGCGGGTTTTGTCTTATTTTTCAGTCCCAGAGTTGGGTTCCAAACCTTTTCTGCGCCACACACCCCTTTCTTCTTTGCCAGTCTGGTCTCAGAATAATGTTCTTAAAATCATAAAACACATAGGCTTGTGGAGGAAACCCGTCACACACACATATGTATATGTATGAAGATCGTAATGAGGTCCGTTTGTGTTTTTACTTGAGGTTTATTTTACGTAGGGTAAAATTCACTCTTTTTCTTTGAACAGCTGATGAGTTTTGATAAACCAGTACGGTCAGGTGAGCGCCATGTCCACAGGGGAGATACACAACACAACAATTCATAACCCCCGAAAGTCCCCTGGTGCTGCCCCTGCCCTCCCCACCCCCCCACTGCTATGTCTTCTGCCCCTGTGACTTTGCCTTTTCCAGAAAATTATGTGAATGGAACCATGCAGGCTGGAGCAGTTGGAGTCTGACTTCTCAGCCCCTGCTCTTCCAAAGACCTTTATTTATTTATTTTTTTCCCCACAGTTGCTCAGTCTGTTTCATTGTATGGACTGTATGGATTCTTCAGTTGCAGGACATTTGGGCTGGGAAACCAGTTATTATTGTTTTTTTTTTCCTATTTATTTTTATTCATTGGAGGCTAGTTACTAGGCAACCAGTTATCTTTGATCACATTTTGCAAAAGAGTAAACAGGAAAAACATATGTGCTTCTTTGTTAGCGCATCTCAAATCAGGGTCCACCAGCAGGTGTGATACCTCCTTAATATCCAAACAGCGATCCAGTGTACATGATAGTTGGAGGAGATGCCTCTCGCTTTTTGTTTTCGGGGGTGACTTCTAGTGGTGACAGAGCCCCGGGCGCTGCTGATGCCATTGTGCTCTGTTGCTTTCAGTTGTCATTGGTGGTGCTGAGGAGGGAAAGCGAAGCCATGATTGTTTCCCATCCGAGTTCATGGACCCCCTGGGTTCTATCCAGAGCCTGTCCATGGACCCTGGGTTAAAACCCTTCACCTGAAAGGGAAAGGTGTGGCATGGCAGGCTGTGCTTCTTTAAGAGCTGAGCGTGGTGAGCATGGGCTGTGAGCAGGAGTGGAAGCTGGGAGGCCGGCAGGGGCCCAGGAGCACCTGGGTCAGGGGGCTGGAGGCTGAGACCAGGGTGAGCGGTGGGTGAACTGGGGGTGGCCTTGTTGGCAGATGGAGAGATGCAGGAAGGGAGGGAGGCGAGAGGACCAGAGAGGACAGATGAGGACAGACAGCCAGGTTTCTGGCAGCTGGGGGCCGAGGGGCAGTGCCCTGGGTGCCCGTAGCTCCCTGGGAATCTGGTTTGTGACTGTGACCAGCATTGGGGTCTGCCTTCAGAGGGCTATCTGAGGAAGGGCGGGGGCATCTCCTTCTTTCAAGGAAAAGTGGTTTCATTGTTCTTTGTCCTCAATCACTAAGTCACATGTAAAACAGAAGCCATAGCTCAGGGTACCAGGAATGAATCCCCCCACCACCGCCATTCTAATCAAGTTCCCTGAAGACAACTATATATCTGTCTGTAGCAGGTTAAGTAAGTTTCCTGATCTGCAAACTGGTGCTCGGAACAGGTTGTACTGAGTCAGTGCAGGTGAGTGCATCCTGGGAGGCGGAGGAAAGAGAGGCTCAGTAAAGGAGAGCAGGTACCACTGCTGCCCGAGCCAGACGAGCTCACCGCATCAGGGCTGAACTNGCCAGATGAGCTCACTGCATCAGGGCTGAACTTCCTTCTCTAAATCAGCGGTTGGCCCGCAGCCTGTTTTTGTAAATAAAGTTTTACTGGCAGGCGACCACATCCACTCTTCCCTGTCTCATATGAGGCTGCTTTCATGCTACAGTGCAGATTGGAGTGGTTGTGAAAGAAACTCCATGGCCCACAGATCCTAAAATATTTACTCTCTGGTCCTTTAAGAAAAAGCTTGCCGATCTCTGTGCTAAACTGAGCTCCCCACCCCCCGCCCCCCCCCCCCCAATTTTCCAACCCATCCTGGATCTTGTTAAATTCTCATGGCTTTCGAGATGAATGCTGCTGTCACCTCCATTTTGCAGATGAGGCAGCGGAGGCTTAGAGAGTTCTGGTGACATGCCCAGGGTCACCAGTGAGGCGAGAGCAGAGCTGGGACTGGAGCCAGCTCCTGCCNCCCCCCCAATTTTCCAACCCATCCTGGATCTTGTTAAATTCTCATGGCTTTCGAGATGAATGCTGCTGTCACCTCCATTTTGCAGATGAGGCAGCGGAGGCTTAGAGAGTTCTGGTGACATGCCCAGGGTCACCAGTGAGGCGAGAGCAGAGCTGGGACTGGAGCCAGCTCCTGCCCAGGCCATTCTGCTACCCCCTGTCCTGGGGGCAGCCCTCCTCCGGGCCCCAGACTGGACTGGCCATGGGCACCCGACCTTCTCCTGACAACTCTTGTTACATGCTTCTCTCTTCCAGCTGCTTGCTACCTTTTTAATTCAGATCGAGAGAAGGAGAGGAGTCCAGTCCTCAGGGATCATGCTGACTTTCTGGCTGATAGCCCTACTGTGTGCCCTTGTCATCCTGAGATCCAAAATCATGACTGCCTTAAAAGAGGTAAGTGACCTCGTTCCATGTCTTCCTTCAGCAGTGCCCGGGAGATGCCTGTTCCTTCTGACTCGTGTGGAAACCATGCATTTCCTTGGGAACCAGAGAATGGCTCCTACGTGGGACGGGCTTCTTCCCTGGGGATTTCCCCCCTCCATGCTACTTTGTTCTAGAAGCTTCTTTCCTCAAAGCCCCATTTGTCTGTGTCACTGTAGGGGCAGGAGCAGCAGGCAGATTCATACCACGCTTTGAGCCTCTGTCAGTGGTGACAGCCAAGCAGGTCGGCTCTCCGTGTGTTTCGCGGGGAATGCAGCCGCGTGGGGAGTGGTGTTTGCAGGGCGACTGTCCCCAGGGGCCCTGGGCTGGTTCCCACGTTGCGTTGGTGCCACTCTGGCTGGGAAGTGGCGCTTGTTGCTGCTCCTAGGAGTTGTGAAGAGCGGGTCCTCTCAGACTGTCCCACTGTTCCCTGCCACCTTCGGGCTAATCGGAAGCTGGCATCAGGCAAAGCAAGGAGGAGTGACCAAATGTTTATTGAGCGCCTGCAGTGTACATTTCAGGCGGTCTTTAGTAGTGATGGCCGCTGCCACTTGTTGAGTTCGTGTTTTCAGGGTGCTAGGCTGGGGACGGAGTCTTTTTCGTGAATCTTACTGCCGTCTCACAGTCACCCTGGCAGGGTGTCTCAGCCTCAGCAGGGATTGGCGTCTGGGGCCTGAGTCCTCCTTTTGTTTTGGGGGAGGGCTGTCCTGTGCTTTGCAGGATGTTTAGGGGCCATGCCCATGGCCCTCCCACCCCTGAACAGAAATATCTCCAGAAACTGCCAGATGTTCACTGGGAGGCAGAGTCGCCCCTCCTGTTGAGAGGAGGAGGGGTCTGTTTGTAGGTGGGGAAACTGAGGCACAGAGCGGTTAAGTAAGCTGATCAAGCCCTACGGCCATGGCCAGTGTGAGCTGAGCCAGGCCTTGAAGGTAGGTCTGATCCACTCCGAAGCCTGGAGCTCCTCCCCAGGTCAGCTGCCCTGACCAGGCAGGGTGGACCACACCATGATGTAAACAGCTGTCTTCTGTTCTCTCGCAGGGGAGATAACCCGGGAGATAACCCAGCCCCTGCAGCTGCTTCCAGAAAGTGATCTTTTCTCCTTCTCCTCCTTCCCCTCCTGTGCAGGATGCCCAAGTTGATGTCTTTCGTGACGTCACCTTCTACATTTACTTTAGCCTCGTGCTGATCCAGCTCGTGTTGTCCTGCTTCTCGGACCGCTCGCCCCTGTTCTCCGAAACCGTCAACGACCCCGTAAGTGTGATCACAGATGAGCGCAGAGACACACGTGTGTGCATGTGGGTGTGTGCAGAAGACACAGTATAGCTCACATTGATAGGAGCCGGTATCGTCCATCTGGGAACTCATTCTGTCTTCCCCAAACACTCAGCCATAGGTAACGTCTTCCTCCCCGCTTTACCGATGGAAAAACCAAGCCACAGACGTGGCTGGAGGGTACTTAAGGAGGGTGTCCCATTCATAGTCGTAAACAGCTGTGTCTTCCAGCCCGTTTGGTGGGCAGAGTGGTTTTAGACAGTACGAATGAACATTTAAATATCGGGAAATTCCACAGGTGTTCTTAACTGTCCTGGTTTTCTAGAAAAGGGTTCTGGCAGCATCAATGCAAGCGGTCGGCCAGCACTGAGGCACGTGGCCCTGGTTTCCTGCCGCAGTCCTCACTGTTCCCTGGTGTGTTAGACAGTCTTGCTTCTCTCACCTGGCCCCTGGAGGATCTGAGTTTGAGACCCTTGGTCTCCTCCATCAGTTCGAGGAAAATCCTGCTCGTGCAGAAGGGTATCAGTGGGCAGGGTGGGGGTGGCCACTCTTCTGCTGGTAGGAGGAAAGGGAACATGGCTGTTTATCACCCTGATCCTTCTCCTTTCTTCCTCCCCGCTTCCCTCCATCCTGTTTTCCTTCCTTCTCCCCCGTACTCCCTTCTTCCATCCAGGCCGAGTGCTGGGCTCTGATGGGGCACAGGGCTATAGCTGTGAATAAAGCAGAATTCTTGCCACTCGGAGCTCACGTTTTCATGTGCAGGGACACAAACAGTAACCCAGGACCCAAGTATATATCCTACCTAGAGTTTTTTAAAGCTCTAAAGAAAAACTCAAAGAAAGGGGGAGATGATGGTTGGGGGTGTGTGTGTGGTTTTGATAAAAGCAATCAGGAAAGCCCACCTCACCCCATCCCCCCAGAAAACCTCACTGGAGCAAAGACCTGAAGGAGCGAGGCAGGCAAGCAGGTTCCCAGAGGGAGAGGTTTCAGGCAGAAGGGTCGTGAGTGCAAAGGCCCTGGGGCAGGGATGCCATGAATGTGTGTGTATAAAATTCACAAGATGTGTGTGTTCCCTGGCACAGAGGAGGGGCTCAGATATCTCCGGCTCTCATGCCTGCTGATGATCGGCGTTGGTGTGCACGGGTGTGGGCCGGGCAGACTGTTTGGATTTTGTTCCAAGAGGGATGGGGAGCCTTTGGAGCAATCATCCCATGCTTTGTTCACGGTTAGTCAGCTGCTAATGGGTGAAATTGCAGTAGGAGCAGTTTTCGGCTGTGGTTCTGTGAGGTTTGTCCTGGACCTCAGCAAAAGGCTGTGGCGGCTGCTTTTGTGGGTGATGAAAGGACGTGGGGGGGCGTCAATCAGAGGAGGCGGTGATGCTCCAACGTGAGATTTAGAAACCGGGGAGCATGTCCCATCCTAGGAGAGGCCCCGTTCTGCCATCTCCTTGCTCTAGGAGGAGCTGGGTTGGTGAAATTAGCAAAGTGTGTGTGTGTGTGTGTGTGTGTGTGTTCATGCACATAGGTGTGTATGCGTGAGGTGGGTACATGAACATGTATTTGTATGCATGTGGATGTGTGTGAATGTGTGCATTTGTGTGTTTTTGTGGGCTCGTGTGTGTGTTGTGTGTGCATAAAATTCACAAGGTGTGTGTGTTCCCTGGCACAGAGGAGGGGCTCAGATGTCTCCGGCTCTCATGCTTGCTGATGATCGGCCTTGGTGTGCACCGGTGTGGGTACATATCAGGCTCTTCTGTGGAACTGCGGGTCACAACAAACAAATCACAGCCCTCTGAGGGGCTGCAGACCCTGGGGTGCTCAGGGGGTAAACCAAGCCCGTGGGAGGCAGACAGGCCCACGTAGGGATCTTCCAGTTCTTCAGGCTCACTGGACTCTTGCTGATGCTTTACAGGGAATTAGTGATTTCTGGTCCTCTCTGGGGTCTGGATGAAATTCCTTTCCCTTCTCTCCTGGGTGTGTGCGCCCTGGGCTGACTCACAGAGCTGACTTCCTCCTCCCATTGTACTTCCTGCAGTTCCGGGGCGTGGGGCCTGCCCCGCCACCCCGGGGACTGAGAGCCTCAGTCTGATTGTGGCGGCAGCGTGGTAACAGGAGGAGAGGCTCGTTGTGGAGGCAGGCAGACCCTGGGCTTTAATTTCACCTGATTCTTTTATCTCTTCAGTAGATATTTCTTAGGCACCGGTTGTATACGGTGCTTGGTTCTGGAGACACAGCGGTGTGTGAAAAGATGTGGTCAGTGCCCTGAGGGGCTTATTTGTTACTGCCCAACACACCCACGCTGAATTTAGCAGCGTAGGACGGCAACAGTCCTTCATTAGGATGTTTCACAGGCCTGGGCGTTGACTGGGCTCTGCCGTGTGGTTCTCACTCAGGATCTCTCCTGCAGTCGCAGTCAGATAGTGGCGGGAAGGCTTCCAAGCTCACAGGTCCTGTGGTTAGCGCTGGCCCCTGGCTGAAGGCCCCATGTGGTCTCTCCCAGCCACCTGGGCTTCCTTGCAGCCCCGCAACTGGTCTGTAAGAGTGAGTATTCCGAGAGAGAGTGAGCTCTAGACCTGGGAGTGGCCAGGTCTCACTGTAGGACCAGCATGTGAAATGGCAGGTGATGCCTGGCTGTCTTTGAAAAATAACTGTCTTCCTCACGCCCCCAAGGAAGCTTACCATCCTGTTAGGCAGATCAGCCGACCACAGTTGAGATGAAGACCTGGGGGTCAAGTTATGTGACTTTTGGATTTGACTTCGAGCGAGTCACTCCTCTTTTCAGGACCTTTGTGTCCCATCCTTGAAAACGGGTTGAGGCTCAGTTTGATGCCAGCTGCCCCCCACCACCCCAGAGCCGAGGCCGGTTGTGACCTGGGAGGAGGGCATGTCAGGTGTCATCTCTGAGTTCTCTTGTTGCTCTCCAGACTGGCATCACAGTGGAGCCGGGAGGACGAGGCCAGTCCAGCCCTGGTCCCTGTTCCGTCCTCCAAGCAGCCGTCACATGTCGCCTGTCCTCAGTGAGAGTGGTCAGCCAAGCCCAGGGTCAGGTGGGGCTGGCGGTGCCGGCCTGCTCCCCCTGCTGAGTCACCGAGTGCCGTCCTCCCCCGTTGGCCCCATGCCCAATGCGTGACTCAGAGCTGTGTCCTGGCCCTGCTTCCCAGCGGGGCTGCTCCCCTCCACGTGCAGGCCCAGGGCCCAGACCTCGGGGGCTTTCTGGGGCTCCTGCCTGTCCCTGGCCTCGGATCCTTTAATCTTCTGACCCTGAGGCTACCGCTTAGGGCATGGGGTCAGGGTTGCCATTGGCAGTTGGGGACACCAGGAGCAAATGTGGCAGGTAATGGACACCCCCCCCCAAAAAAAAAAAAAAACTTCTCACAGTGGGGGGTCCTCAGACCAGCAGCATCAGCACCCCGCCAGATGCACATTTGAAATGGAGAGTCTTAGGCCTGCCGAGCCCTGCTGAGTCAGGGTCTCGTTTTCATAAGATCCCTGGCTGGTTCATGGTGGAAAAGCACCAGGTTAGCACATTCTTAAAAATTACTCAGCTCATTTGGTGTAAGAGGTATTTTTAGTCCTGTTTCATAAATATGGAATATTTTACAAGGAGCATTTCAAACCTGCAGAAAAGTTGAAAGACACAGTGAATAGTTGCCATTTACCTGCCAGCTAGACTGCCTACAAGTTAACATTTTGCTAACCTTGTTTTTACTGCATATCTGTCTAGCCAGCCAGCCGGCTAAGATTTTTGGTATTGAAAACTGACCTTGAAATAACATCAGTATCCTTCATCCACACACTTAACCATGCGAATCATTAGCCAGAGCTCAATATCTCTTTATGGTTCTATTTTAGGGTGTTTTTTTTTTTTCTTCCTTCAAGTAAATTTCCATAGTGACATTCCTGAATCTTAACTTACCCATTTGATGAGTTCTGACAAATGATAACTCAAATTCCTGTCGAGACAGAATATCCCTGGAACCCTAGGAAGTCCTCTCCTGTTCCTTCATGCCAGTCCTACCCCTTGCAGCCCAGAGGCAACTGCTGGGCTTAGACTGTTAATGAGAGCATGGAAAACTCCATTTTTAATTCCTTTCTCTACCATTTGGTAATTCATTGTGCCAGGGACTCAGCTGGGCTCTGAGTACCTAGAAATGAACAGACCTTGACCACCCCAAAGGAGAGACAGAGGAGGAGGCAGAGGGCCAATAAGGTTGAAGGCTGGAGGATGGATGGGAAGGTTCTCCTGCTGGTGGGAGCAGCATGTCCACAGGCCCAGCAGTGTGATGGAATCTGTGGGTGTTGGGGAACTGCATGACTTTCTGCTTGGCTAAGTCGGGGGGCCAGGGAGCTGAGCATGAAAGATCAAGGGTAGAATTGAGTGTCACCTTGTGGACTTGGAGTTATAATCTGAGGGAAAGTTTCTCAGCTGGAAGGGGTTGACACACTCAGGTTGGAAGTGTTTTAGATGATCCCTCTGGCTGAAAAGAGGGTGCAGGAGGCTGGTGGCACCTAGGAAACCATTACTGGAGCCTAGGCAGGTTGAGAGGAACGCTGGCCCGAAGAGTGACCCTGTTCAAAAGCCATGGAAAGAAAACGGACAAGCTCATGGGCAAACACACATGGTGCTTGTGTGTGCTACAGTAGAAGAAATTGTGGTCCTGAGCCTGGAGATCTGCATAGCTGAGAAGCAGCAGAACGAACAAAGAACACCAGTGTTACACACTCTATCACCGGATTTCTTAGTGTCAGACATTTGGGTGGTTCTAATCAATAATAATAATAGCAGCCTTGTGTTCATAAAATTAACTTAATTTAATCCTCACAACAACCCAGCATTGAGGTGGAACTGTGAGCCTCCCCCCATTTTACAGATGGGAACACTGAGGTTCAGGGTGGTGTAGTATGTCACGTAAGTTCATAGGGCTGGATTGGGGGGTGAGCCCTTCACACCTGAGCAGGCATCAGCATCACCTGGAGGCC